TTTTGTTACTCCAAATGGGAGCCGCGTATAGCACGATTGACATTACGACAGAATAATACAATCTTCTCTTGCACTCAATCGGACCCCTCAGATTTGGGAGTCTTTCCACACAATGCTCTACTTACTCTGGTGGCTTTTTCCACAATATAGTTAAAATGTGTGTTAAAAGACCATGTTCCATCTATATATACGCCGAGGTATTTCATACTTCTAGCAATTCGGATCCTATGACCCTCGTACTCAAAGAATGAATTAGCAGGAGCACGGCCGAAGAGCATAGCCTCGGATTAAGTACGAGGTCGAAAGCGAGGTTCCACAACAGGGGGCCCAAGACAGAGCCTTGTGGGACACCCCTGTTGACCCATCTAAAGCGACGTTTACCATTACGTGTAAGGTATCTAATCTTCCGTCCGGAAAGAAATGCCTCAACGATTCTGCGAAGGTAACGCGGAAAATTCTTTGTGCGCAGAGGTGTTTTGATACCCGAGAGCTTGACCGAATTAAAGGCGTTTTCAATGTCCAATAAGAAGGCCAGCGCGATCTTCCCATTAGGCGGGCCTCGGTTACGATGTTTTTAACCAGAAATAAGGCATCGCTCGTAGATCTTAGCCTTTGGAAACCAAATTGGTTGTCCGATAAGTTTGAAGCGGGATTCTCGTCCATAAATTCAGTCAATCTGCGCGCTATTATCCGCTCAAAAAGTTTGCCGATCTCATTTAGCAAACAGATGGGACGAGCCTTAGGCACTTCGCCAACTGGTGGAAGATCACCTTTAGGGATAAGTACTAAATCGGATATTTTCCAAAAGGCCGGATAGATGCCATATTTTAGCAAGATGTTGAAGCATTGAGCGATCCTGGCCTTCATCGCGTCAGGAAGCTTCTTTAAGGGGGGAATCTACTTTGATGGGTCAAAAAAATCGATTTTTTTTTTGCATAAATAAATAGTATAAGGTTTCAAGAATATATTCCCAAAGTATTATCGTCAAACTCGTAAAATTGACGAAACTACAGCTCTTTTTAGTGAGGCGCCCGGAGAGACGTACGCTATACTGGCTTCGCAGCGTTCTCGGTTCTATTATTGCGGGAACAAAATAATCTTATATGCCCGCTAGACCTACAACTATTTTATTTGACCCTATAGTGTTTATATTTATGTGTTCGTGCTTCGAAATGTCGGCTTGTACGGACATAAAAGTAAAATCATGCCTCGCAAAGGTAAAAAGAACGGTTTTCGTCAGTCAAGACCACGAAAAAGATCGTTTCAAGGAAATCAGTTTACTGTCGAAACGGAAACTGCATCGACGAGTAATGCGGCTAAAAAATTGAAGACTGCGGATGATGACATTATTATAAGTCAAACTCACGGCTATCGCATTATTGAATTTTTCACTGTTTTTAGTGCTTTGACTCAAATGCTAATTTGTAAAAATTGCAAGAAAAATGTAACTTTTGGTGAAACGGGAAGTCGCGAATTAGGATTCAAAATAGCTGTTACTTGCTCATGTGGTGTTCGGAAGATCGATTCAGGCCCTTTTATTAACAGTGCCTTCGAAATTAATAGAAGAATAATATTTGTCATGAGATTGTTGGGAGTCTGCAAAGAAGGCATAAATTTGTTCTGTGGTCTCATGGATATGTGCCAAAATTTCAATTATAAAGTACATTATGCCTCTGTAGAAAACATTTATACTGCATCCAAAGGTGTCTTCCATACATTGTGCCATAAAGCCGTCAAAGAAGAAATAGAAGTAAACATGCAAAAAGGAAAGCCATCGCAAAATTTGATCGTTTCCGGTGATGGAACATGGAAAAAGCGTGGTTTTTCATTTTTATTTGGTGTAACAACGCTCATAGGACAAAACACTGGAAAGATAATTGATCTCGTCGTAAAAAGCAGCCATTGCCAATCCTGTATTTTTTGGAAAAACAAAAAGGGCACTGTAGAATATTCCGAGTGGTTTGAAGATCACAAAGAAACGTGCTCCATCAACCATTCTGGATCTTCCGGAAAAATGAAAGTGGATTCAATGAAAGAGATGTTTTCCAGATCTGAAGAAAAGTTTGGCGTGAGATACTGCAATTATATCGGCGATGGCGACTCTAAAACTTTTAAAGCCCTTATGGATTTACAACCCTACGGCGAGGATATAACATTGAAGAAACATGAATGTGTTGGGCACGTCGAAAAAAGAATGGGCACTCGCCTGAGAAATATAAAGAAAGACGCAAAACTCGGAGGAAAAGGAAAGCTGACGGACACACTAATAAAAAAATTGACGAAATATTACGGATTAGCAATAAGAAGACATCCGGATTCGGTTGAAGAGATGAAAAAAGCCATCATGGCTACTTATTATCACTTATGCTCAACCGATGAAAAACCACAACACGAATACTGTCCAACGGGGTGTGAAAGTTGGTGCAAATGGCGAGTAGCAGAAGCGACTGGGAAACTAGCTGAATTTGAACACCCACCTGCTTTTCACAAGGATGTTCAAGAGCAATTGTTGTCGATTTATCAAGATTTGTCCAAGGATGATCTATTGGAAAGATGCTTAGGCGGATATACGCAGAATTCAAACGAAAGTTTCAATGCAAGTCTGTGGCGTCTGGCACCAAAACATCTTCACTGCGGCGCAAAAACAATTGAAATTTCTGCATATTTTGCTACTGCGATCTTCAATGAAGGGTACTACCCTATTTTAAAAATAATGGAAGCAATGGGCATTGTGATCGGACAACATACCAAGGGATTCGTCGATTCACAAAATGACAAACGACTGCGGAGAGCAGAAATTCGTACTTGGGAGAACACGAAAGAAGCTCGAACAGCCAACAGAATGCAGAAAACTGCCCAACAGGAGTTATACGAGGAAGAGGAAGGCATATTGTATGGGCCCGGAATAGCGGATTGAACATTATTTCATTGTAAGTATCGTGAAAACATCAAGAACTTCATTTCTATATTCAAGTACGACTCTTCTGACCCGCCATTTTAAATCCGCCATTTTGAATTTTAAAAATCTGATATCAGATTCGGATTCAGCGACCTCAAAAACCTTTATACTGAAATTTGCATGCATTTTTACGTGCTTTTTTGGCTAAGAGCAAAAAAATAAACTTTAAACGCGTTTTTCTCAAAACTACTTTTTCCAACTTTGCGTACAAGATAACTCAAAAAGTAATCACTCAAATAACTTTCGCCAAGCATGATTCGATTCCTTACAATTTTCTTCAGGGATTGAACCTACGTTTACATTTTATTATTTATTTATAACATTTTTATCAACAGAAGATCGATTTTTTGATAAAAAAAATGTCACTTTTCTTACGATTGCTGTAACTTCTTCAATTTTTCATATTTTTATTTGCAAATAAGTTCAATCCCTGCGTAATTGATTAAGCTTTAAAAAAAATTTTTATTTTTTGCTTTCAGATTACCCAGCTCGTTGCTACACTGTACGCAGCTAACCGTTGCGCTACCAACATTGCGCTACAAAATTGTCCGTCAATATAATAAAAATTAACGTAACTGAAAAAAAAAAATTTTTTTTTTCTTCTTTAAGAATGCCTTTCCATATTACAAAAAAAATTAATCCAATATCACTTATAGTTTCCTTGAAAAAAATTCCCAAAAAATCATTATTTTTCAGCCGGCTAAAGTAGATTCCCCCCTTAATGTGGCGGCCTTGAGCCCGTCAGGGCCGGGAGCTGTGCCCAAGTTCTTTTTAGCATCGATTGCTTCAGCGACTTCCCCTGTGGTTACAAGGATTCTCTCCTCCTCACAGTCTCCCAAATCGACCCGTCTCAGTGCATTACCGAGCGAAAAGAGATTGTCCAGAAGTTGGTTGAGGATATTTGGCTTCAGTGTGATGGAAAGGCCCGGAGTGGACTTCCGGAGTCTGTTTAAAACCACTTTATATGGGAGACCCCAAGGGTCATCATCCAATGTAGCGATGAGTTCCCGCCAAGCGTTGTTCTTCGCCTTACGAATCTCCAATTTAAGCTCTCTCCTAGCTAAGGCTAGTGCCGTCTTCTTCTCTGATAAAATGTCGGGAGGGTCCCTGTACCGAGCACGGTTCCAAGATCTTCTGGCAGAGATAACTGCCGCTCTATATCTCGCTGTTTTGTCACTCCACCAATAGGTTCGAGGACCAGACCTACGAGAGTTGAGTCTGGGAACGGCAGCTTTGCACGTATCGACGATACAGCGGTGGATCCACTTGTCTGGTACAGCATTGATCATGTACGCTTCATCGTCGGGGGTCACGGCACAGATCCAGTCGAGAGCAATTTGATACATCTCTTTGTCCATCCTTTTAAAATTCCACTTGAGAGAGTTTGGTGGAAAGGAGCCTCCAGCAGAAGAATCATTTACGCGGAAGGTGATATAATTATGATCAGACAAAGATTAAATCTCATCACGAACAGACCAACCACTGATCATATTCATCAAGTTCGGAGAAGCCCAGGTTAAGTCGATTATTGATGTGCCCTGGGCGGCTGAAAAAGTGGGTTTACTTCCTCTATTAATTAATCTCAAGTCAGCCTGGTGAACCCAGTCCTCCAGGAGATCACCCTTGAAATCTTGTCTTCTTGAGCCCCAGCGACGCGCGTGGGCATTAAAATCGCCGCATACTATTAAGTTGTTAACATCCGTAGTGCTGGAAATTAGAACGGATAACTCGTCCATAAATGCCGAGTATCCGCTATAATCGATATTAGGAGAGATATAACAAGAGACAATCTTTGTCTTTCCACTGAACAATAACCGCATTTTGGCTCTTAGCAAGAAAAATTGCCGGATGTTTCGCAATCCGGACATTCACGTAAATTGCAGCGAGATCGCTTTGACTGCGGAACCACTGCTGGGAGTCGGGCATGCGGGCAGGTTCAGATACTACGCACACCACGGCTCCCAGCTCCTCGGAATGGTGCAGGAGCAGGTCCTAAGCCTCTCTGCTCCTATTAAGATTTATTTGTATGAAGAGAGCCATTTCACTTGTTCATTCTATCTGCACCAATTCTTCTTGGTGGTACGTCCTTAATAAAGCAATTTTTGGTGGAGCTCAGACGATGATCGTGTAGTCCACCTGCGTTTTTACAGACGACACAACATGCAGGCTCATCACAAGTGCTAATTCTATGTTGACGCGAACCACATTTGAAGCAGCTACCAGCCCTGTCTTCAGGAAATTCACACGTATTCTTAACATGGCCGAAGCGCCAGCACTTAAAGCACTGGATGGGACGAGCCTTGAGAAGCTCGACCCGTGCCACGGTCCACCCAATCTTGATTCTGTCCGTTGCGGTCAGCTTGATCGCCGCGGTCAATGGGCATTTGGCCCAGATGGAACAAAGGCCGTTATTCATACAACGAATGGTGCCTAATTTTATGTCTTGTTCGTCGCAATCTCCGCGGACAGATATTATGTTGGTAATCTCAGTAAGGGAGATGGAATCGTCAAAATTCCACAAACGAAATTCCCCCATTACCGTGGGTCTTGCTATTCTGGCTTTCGTATTCAAGACTTCTCTAAGTTTCCGGGCAAGTAGGTCCGCTTTCGAGGCTCCATCTGAGCCGGGGATCTCGATTATAACACCCCCATTGAGGCCACGTCTGATCCGAGAGTCTTCGATACCCATATTGTCCAGAGATATCCTATCCCTGGCGGTCTTGAGGATGTCCGCATAAGAAATATCAGAATTTAGACTCGTGATTGAGATTGCAGCAGTTTTAGAAGCTCTACGGCGTACCACTTTCCTGTTTTTACCATCCGATGGACCAATCGGGGTGATTAAATTAGCGGATGGGGGCTTGGACCGACGAGGTTGATTCATCTGTTAAGAATTTAAATCCATGTTCGGATTCCCAAGAGTATCTGTTCTTTTAGACCTCTTAAGGTCTTTACTGTTTTCGTTATTGTGAGTAGTTCTACGAGTAGCTCGTGCAGCTTTCATCTCCCTCCTGCGTTCAATGAGTCGAGAGATATCCTCATTAACAAGTCCAATATCCCGGCCAGAGACGTCTCCTGAGTCCTCGTTATCTAATCTGTTGCGGTGAGGAAAAACCCTTTCCGACTTGTCATTGCTCAGAGAAGAAGTCTTTGCTTTAGAGACACTTCGCCTTTTAGTACGGGTCTCAGCTTGATGTGACTCCGTATCAGACTCGCTAGAGGGACGTGGGGGTAACATGTTCATCTTGTTCCAGAAAGGTAGATTATCGGTAATCTTTGGCTTCTTCTGAGAAAGAGGGCGCTCCGCACTTTGGTCACCGTCGGGTCGCTTAGATGACTCCGTGTGTCTCACTTGCTTAGAGATCTTAGTTTTCTTGTCGAGCGTTTCCTCAAACGCTTCCTCCCTTTCCGTCTCTTCGGTATCCACCTGAAAATCAGAACAGTCCATTTCCGTTGTATATCCTCGGCGCATATCTGATTTGTCGTTGTTTCTCACGCTTGAAACGTTTAAAAGAACCCTCGGAGAAGGGTCAAAAGTCCTCTGATTTTGATTTTTTCACCTCATAACCTCCTCTCGGAGGACCCCGAGTTCCGCGCGGAGTTCTTCATTTTCCTTCCGAAGCTGAGAACATTCCAGCCTTTGAGACTCTTGTTCTTTTGTAATATTACCAAGCTTGGCGGTCAGATTTTTGTTCTGGAGTTTGAGGCTTGATATATCCCCGGCAGAATCCAGCCGTTCTCCGTATACCTTCACCGCTTCCAAAATGTTACTCAAGCCATTTCTGAGGTATCCGGTAAAGTTACTCTTAAGATTCCTACTCTATTTTCGAATGGATTCAATTTTCCCGACACAGTCGGTGAGAAATTCCGTCAAATTTTCCGTGTTAAGTTCTCTTAACTTATCGACGAAAATTAATTTTATGCTATCTACATGAGGGGTCTTTTTAACAGGAGAAGAAACCATTAAGTTCCTTGGGGTGCTGAGCCTCCTCTTCACCGGAGCCTTTGCGACAAGAGAAGTGAGGGGAAAAGTTAAATCTTGATAGTGTGGCGACGTCTGTGCCTTCCTCTTTCCACGGAGTTGTGGCGTAGGGGTCGATGTGTCGTCATCGTCCACTATCATTATGACATCGTTGACAGTCTCGTTCTGATCTTCATGTAAGCTCCTACCAGGGTCAGACCTTGGTTCCCCAAACCCTGACGGAGACGTTCTTTTCTCCTCGAAGTTAGATGTTCTTTCAACAGCGTCAAACGCCGGAAAATCATCGCTGGGGGGCTCGTTCAAAGGGGGGGGGGGTCATTCTCGTTCCACATCGCGTCGAAGTATTCCCCGCCCAAAATAGACTTAGCCAGTGCCCATGAAGGGGATCCAACTGAGCCACAAATTCCGATTCCCTCCACAGTAGCCTGACTATCTACGGCACCCGTGGACAACGTCGGTGACGGAGAACCCCCTCCCAACTCCCCGGTAGTATCCACCGCTCCGGCGTCCGAGGACGACGCCGGTTTAGTCCTTCCACCATCTACCACGGTAGCTCTTACGCCATCGGCGCCCGTGGGCAACGCCGCGCACAGTGGGGCGAATCTATCAAAAACCGGATATTGGACGAAAAATGAAAAACGTATAATTCAAATTTTGACGAGATTTTATGTTAATATATATCCTAAACTATAAATAAATGTACTTATAATTGATTTTATTCCTTGTTCTTTCCTCAAAATGATCTGATAAAGTATGACATTTTCGTGAATACTGAAATTCTAGTAATTCGATAGGTTACTTTCTAAAGACTCTGCCGAAAGCCTAACTGCGAATATGAGTTAAATGCCTATCAGAACTTATTTATTAGGGTTCAAAAAATATATTTATTTTAGTTTTATGTCATTCGAGTACTATTATATATTAATAAATATACACGACATATTCGACTATTAAAAAATTCTTACTTCAATATTCAAACAGGAAGAAAGTTTGTGGATTAGAATGGATTAAGGTTTGCTCTGCGCCATTTGATAGGGCAAAGTGTCTAGTTTTTGTACATATAAGGTTGTTTATCCGTATACGTCCGGCGTTTATGAGAAAATTGACGTCGAAGTTCACTCGACATGGTCGAACGTCGTCCACGAATAGCTCAGTGGACGCCGTTCGATCATGTCGAGTGAATATGGATGTCTATTTTCTCATAAAAGAAAGACGGAGGGGGATATATAATTTGTTTAAATATTGCTATTTTGTAATAATTAATTACATCCATATTTTATAACAATTAATTATGTCAATTAATATAACAGCGATGAGTCGAGCCTCTATTGGAAATCCAATCGTAGGGAAAGCGGGCTAATTAAGAGCCGTTTGCTGTTGACAATGCAAAAGTTTTGTTAAAAATATTATTAAAAATATTGTTCTCCTCGAGGAGGGAGGGGAGGGGTGGGGAGGGGGAGGAAATAAAAACAGCGGAGATAAGAACTTTTCGTCAGTCTTTCTCGATCAGTAGTCGATTAAAGACTTTTTGATTTTGAAAGTTTTGCTTTACACAATTCATTTTGTAGTCCAGGCAACGTAGGCGAAAAACATGCGTTATTTGGAAATTTGTTCTCGAAGAATGAATTCACTTGAAACCTTTTGGAAAATGTTTTTCTACCTTTAAATGGAAAAGTTTACCTATTTATTTCATGTGCTCTTACCTATTTTTGGAAAAAAATGAAAAACACCGATTTTTTAAAGAAAAATGTGAAAAAGTGATTATAATTAAAAAAATGTTAAATGTATAATCATGAAATTCATAGGTAATGTGTTTTTAAGGTTGCTGAATACGAATCTGAAGTAAAATTTTCAACATTATAAAATGGCGACTCAAAAGAGCGGGTAAAAAGCACAAAACTAAGCGTTTTTTTTGTAAAAATCGTTACATTTGTCATATTTATTCGTATTTATTGATTTTCATCTTTATTCAATTCAATGGGTTTATCTTCATAAATATCTGGACATATCGGTACGTTTAAGTAGCCCTGATTCCAGTAATTTTGCACACAGTTCCGTGCATTGAAGTCCAACTCTTCTACTACCGCAAGCTTTTCCGCAGCCAGTTCGACAGCCGCAAAATATCATTTTTAAAATACTGTCTGGAGCTGGAAGTTGTTTCATAGTAATAGGTGTAAAATCATTATTTCAGCCCCATGCAGTTGCTGGCAATTCGTATTCTCCACTTTTAAACTTGAAAATATACTCTTTTGATATGCTGCATTGCAGCATCTTCAGAAAGAGGCAAAGTTTCAAGTTTAACGTTTTTATCACGCTCACTCGCACGCTGCAGTTCTCCGCGCGCGAGCCGAGAAATCCTATACAATTTATAGCATTCTTCGGGAAATTCTACCCCTGTTTTATATACAATTCTTTAAGATTCGGTCAATTATTTTCCGAAAAGTTGGAAAAATTTCGGATACCGGTTCCAAAAAAGATCGGTAACGAAAAATTATACACTTCATATCACTCCCCGGAAAATTATACCCCTGTTTCATATATAATTCTTTGAGATTCCGTCAATTATTTCCCAAAAAATTAAAGAAATTAGAAAAACTGGTTTCCAGAATATCGGTAACAAAAAACTATACACCCTATAGTACTTCCCGGGAAATTCTACCCGTACTTCATATACAATAGTTTCAAAATCGGTCCAATAGTTTCTAAGATTACCCGAACAACAGTACAAACGACAGTAAATACGACTTTTTTTACTAAATTGCGTGTAGCCACTAAAATAAAAATTCAAAAAAATATTTTCGATATACAGTCTTAAAGTTTAAGACCCAAGCTACAACATCCCATAAGTTATTTTCTCAAAAAAAATTTTTTTCTATTACTTTTTCGACTTTGAAAGTAGAGAAATTTTCATATTTTCTAGTTCGACATTTATTTTTATATACTTTTTTGAAAAATACACCTGCTTAATATTTTGTTTTTCAAATAAAACATGTATCATCTTAAAGTACATATTTTCAGCTTTAAAAAACCCTGTTATTAAATTTCAATATCTATTTCCTAAGCAATAATATCTGCAGTCAAACTTGTTGATCAATTTTGAAATAACGAAATTTCAAGAAAACTATCAACTTTGAGGTCCCAACTTTTAAAAAATAAATTTTTGTAATTTTTTTCACTTATTGCATGTTATCAGCACATAGTTTAAGAATATAATGCTTTAATTTAGAAGTAAAAATCTGCAAATTTAAATAAATGGCAATGATATTAGTAAAATAAGTCAAATATTTCACATCGCCTCTCTTCAAATTTGATTTAAATATACTCAAAATGCTTTCTCAATTTTTCTAAACCACTTGAAAATTAGTAAATTGCGTCTACTTTCGAATGCTTTTTGTAAAATTTGATTCTATCGATCCAATCAAAAGTTACAACTCTTTTTAAAACTCTTTAAAAGTTACAAGTTACTTTTTAAAAGTTACAACTCTTTTGCGTACTCTGCAGGCGGCTTCACACGGGACGGCATCGACGCACTTTGAAGCGTTAATTAAAAAATTATTACTCCTACACATATTAATATTAAGAAAACTTTAGATATGTTTCTTTAGTAAAATTTTCTCCTCTTTCGATTGGCATGGTTTATTTTTTCATAAAATTAATGTTTTATTAGTTATACTCAAAAAACCGATTTTTTCGGTCTTTTTTGTTAAATAAAACATTTAGCACAGGGTTTACGTTGGTAAACTTTTGGGACATGTTTTCTGAAACCCAAAAGAACACTTTCCAAAAAAGTTTACTCTTCGAGGAGAAATTTCCAAGTGTTTTCCTACATTGACTGGACTATTGCGTCCTTTTCAGGATACAGTGAAAAATATATAGAATATATAAAATATATAGAAGATTAT